TGCTCACCAGTGACTGTGGGCATTTGTGCACATTTGTGCAGTAAAACCATAGGAGGGTTAGTGAAAACATGAAACAGAAGAAATTGGTGCATAATTTACAAATTTGCATGAGAACCATAGCTCGTGAAGAACGGGTACCAGTCCAAATAACTACGCAAACAATCACTACTCAACAACTTATCAACTCTTGAATCCCTTACTGTTTGCTGACAAAATGGCAATGTAGTGAGTCATCAATTAAACACTGACTGCCTAGAGTCGTACTTCATTTGCCCAGGAAAAGGACATGACTATTGAGGTACAAAGCAAAATGTTTCGGAGTCACAAAAAATCCTGAGGAAGTTGCTGCAAACTACATGTACATGTAGCGCTGCAGCTGAACCACCAAGCCAAACCAAACCAAAAGTCATCCAACGTGGCATATTTGAACTGAACTGAACCAAGCTGGTCACTTTGGATGATATTGACGGTACAAGGAACGTACACAAGAAAGCTAAATGAAAGAAACGGATAACAAGTTTAGTGCACTATGCCGCACTTGGTGCAGAAGTGTAAAGTATGTGGGTGTACGTGTACATGAACGTGCGTACAATACAGGACCAGTACGTACTGTATAGCACTGTATATGTTATACACTTACAATGGCCATGCATTACAGGATGTTTATGAAAAGCATGTGTTACGAATTCACTAAAATATCAACTGAGAAGATTCAAAGTACAGCATTACTGTTGTGTGGCAGTGACAAATTTTCACTGCATCCAATTGTGCTTAGGTGCATTTGAAATTTCAACTGACATTATACGTGCCCTTTTATTCCATATTAGTCCAATGATGTTTTGAGTGGCAGTGCAAAACTAATATTGATTGGATACTGATCATTGTTGGACTCCTACTCGAAAGCAACTGCAGACATGGTTAATCTTGCAATTTTGCCAGGCTGTGCAACATATCCAGCAACCAGAATATTTGGTGTGGTTGCCTAACAAGCCTTCCTATTTCAAAGTTGTGCATTGCTGTACCAAAGAACCAATTATTTCCTGAAATTTCCATCACTGTAAGCTACCCTAACCCCCCAGGATGTATGAAAAATCAACTGAAATCGAAGGCTTTGGGACTATAGCTGTAGTTTGTTTTTTTCTACAGAATAAATTCATAACATCACACACTTCCCCCAAATTAATATGAAAAATGTCAATTTACACCACACAACTATGATAAATCCTCACTGAGACATTATTTAATTCTAACCTTCTACAATGCTAGTCCCCATTTTCACTTAACTCGAAAACAGGGCCCGATGATTACTCCTCTGTCGTATACTGGGTCCTGTCCCGATTCATAGGGATTTCTTTCGAAAAGTTTTATCCGGGATATCCAGGGACATAAGTAAACATTCGCTTGATTTAATGAGCTGAAATTGCACCGGTATGTTCACTACTTATGGGGTAAACTATCCACTAGGTTGCTAATTGCAGAAAACTCACCTTTTCCTCGTTTGGAGGAATAAAAGTTGCCTTTTTTTTGCCGTTTTCGTACTTTTTGTTTTCGTAAATTTGCCCCCCTTGCACTAAACTTACGGCTGTTTTTTGTCACTTTCATGTCACATCACAGATGGCAAGCTGCGCTGACAATTATTTGCCACAAACAGTGTGTCATTTCGGCAGGGAACCAGCCAAAGAATTGCGTATTAGCTGCGACAGAATACAGCTGTGATTTTCCAAGAGTACTTAGATCGATGGGTACTCTCACAGATCTGAATAAAATTCATAAGTGCTGAAGTCTGGGTGCAAACTAGACAGGCTCTCGCACAGGCTACCATTACTTAACCATACAAACGAGTCTGTGTAATGTACAAGTCGGCAAAAATTCGTCTCTTCATCCGAAAACAGCTCGCTCTCTGTGACGTTACATGAAAGTGACAGAACAGCCCTCAGTTTAGTGCAAGTGGGGCAAAATTGTCCAGAATGGGAAAACGGGGGGGAAAAAGGCAACATTTATTCCTCCAAATGAGGAAAAGGCGAGTTTTCTGCAATTAGCAACCTAGTAGATAGTTTACCCCGTAAGTAGTGAACATACCGGTGCAATTTCAGCTCATAAAATCAAGCGGATGTTTAGTTATGCCCCTGGGTATCCCAGATAAAACTTTTGAAAAAAGAAATCCCTATGAGTCGGGACAGGGCCCAGTGTACAACGGAGGAGTACTCGTCGGGCCCTGTTTACGGGTCTACATGTACATTTTCACCTGCTCTTTAGACATGTTAGAAAACCCATTAGTGTTGCTGTTCATGCCAAGATTAGCAGTGGGTAATGGATAAACCTTCCAAACACGTATGACACAAAGAGGGGTAAATATAAAGGACCTGGAGTGGACGCACGCAGAAAATACTGTCATTGCTCTTTTCAGCATTTTTCTTTGCAAGTTTATTTCACATTTGACCTCTTTTTTAAGTAATTTTTTTCAAGCCGAATCGTACAGAATTGAGTACAAATTAAATAAAACTGTCAATGTCACAAAAATTTGTCACGATAACACTGAACAATGTAATATTTCGGAAATGCTAACAAACGTG